TGGAGACATAGGTGGAGTGGTAAAAGGATCCATAATGGTGGAGTTGTTGATAGTTTAGTCCTAATGTGAAGAGTTTTAATTTCGAGGTTCTACAGCCTGAACGCACGGACTTTTGTCCCCATGTTCGTAAGGAGCACGTGTTCTATCTGGACTCATTATTATCGGGATGTACTATTCCAACTTCTATTGGTCTGCCTATACTCCCATCAACAGTAACGAATCATTCGCCAACAATGGGTATACATACGATGTCAGCCAGATCTTGAATGATAGCGGCGATGGTGTCGATATCGAGAAATACAAGGCGTATGGTCCTCCGTACTTCTCAGGCGCCAATGTCTTCGGTCAAGGCGCCTGGTTCGCTTGGTATCCATTGACATTATTCTATGTCTCTATCCAGCACTACGAGGCGCTCAAGAGGTCTTTCTACGACATGTACAAAGGTATTCGCTACAGAAGCTCCGCATTTGGTGATAATGACGATCCTCACTCTCGTATGATGCGAGCATATCCTGAAGTGGCTGACTGGTGGTTCATTGGCGTTCTTCTGATCTCACTTGTCCTTGGTATCATTGCTCTCAAGGCATATCCGGTTGACACCCCTGTCTGGACTCTGTTCGCAGTCGTTGGACTCAGTGCCGTCTTTCTGATTCCTTCTGCTTTGTTGCTAGCTAATGCGAACGTCACCATGGGTTTCAATGTGCTCTTCCAGCTTCTCGCTGGATATTGGTTCGTCGGAAATCCAGAAGCCCTCATTATTGTCACAGCTTATGGTACGTACTTCAATGCCCTCCAACATCTCTTACCTTTATCTTTGAATCTTGCACGATCCCTTTTGTCATCTAAAGGCACAGCTACCATTGGGCTTCCTGCATATAGGTATCACGTGATCACCCACTAACTTCTCAAACCTGTAGGACAAAACTTCAATTCTCAAGCAGAGAACTATATATCTGACCAGAAGATGGGACATTACGCCAAGATTCCACCTCGAGCCGTGTTCCGGGGTCAAATGCTTTCCGTCCTCGTGAATTGCTTCATTTTCGTGGGCATGTTGGACTGGATGGTGCAAAGTTTCGACAACGGCACACTCTGTGAATGGAACAATCCCCAACATTTCGTCTGCACAGACGCAGTTCTCGTCTTTGCATCAGCAATTGAATACGGTGCCTTCGGAGTGAAGAATTTCTTCACATTATACCCGTTCTTGCCATGGTGTTTCCTCGTCGGTGGCCTTGTTGGTATCGGCTGGGGCGTCGTTCAGAAGTTCGGACCACACTTCAAATCAATGTGTCGCCGACGATGGTCAGAACGTACCTTTGCAACATGGGATACGTGGATGTTCCGGCCCATGGAACTTTTCGCGTGGTTCGACCCCGCAGTCTTCTGGGCTGGCGCCCTCAATTGGACTGGTGGCAACAATCTCTCATACGCTACCAATGGCATCTATATCTCGTTCATCTTCATGTACTACATCAAACGCAACTACGGGCCGTGGTTCGAGAAGTACAATTATCTGCTTGAGGCAGGGTTTGATGTTGGCGTCGCGATCAGTGGCATCATTCAAACGTTCGCATTTGATTTTGGACCGAGCATTACACTGAACTGGTGGGGTAATACGGTGAGCACGGCAGGTGTGGATTATGTCAGCTATAATCAGAATGCGTCGTTGTATCCGATTCCTGCTTCGGGATACTTTGGGTTGGCGCCTGCGGATTTTCCTATGAAGTTCTAACGGCGACTATACGTAATTTATTGCTCCTATTATTGATGGGATTTTGCTAAGAAGGCTTGTAGGAGTGCTTGTTACGAAGTCTAAGACACATATTCTCTCGAAGATAGCTTGTTTTCTGATACGAATCAGCTAGAATACAATTGACGGCACTTTCCGTGATTTTCCATCTTTTGTTATTCCTTAGTTCCCCTATAAACTTCTCTTAACCATAGTTTTCTGAAGATAACGGAGCTCAGGGTTTTGCTTGCCGATGTTCAGCAGGTTTCAATTATGCCCCTGAATCCCCTCGCTTATTTCTCGCTTAGTTCACCATCACCAATCATCTCAACCCAAACTTCGAATAAGTTCGACATCACAAATATCGAGAAATTACGTATGTTGGTAAGGTTCTCGATTGATTGCATCTGTATCGTACCCATCGATGAGGTTGATAAGGAAATGTCTTGGATAGCCATTGTTGTGTGAGTGTGAGGTCTGTTGGGTGAGTTGATTTGTGTTATTTGGTTTGTGTGCGAAGGTTGAGACTGGTGTTTTGTACATGCTGGATTGGTTATAAAAGTCAAGAGAAAAAATTGAGTTTATATAGACAAAAGGTCAAAAGAATGAGTAATGTTTCTCCTGTATTTGAATCGGACGAACGAGATTCGTCGTTGAACTGGTGACTCGAATGAAACATTCAGGACTCGTTGATTGAAATGTTGATTCAAATGGAGGAAAGTTGACATCATATGTTCATGACTGGCTCCAAGACCAAAGATCGATTCAAATGGAAGAGACTTATTTTGAACGGTCAAATCATCTGGGTGAGAGCTGGCTTGTCAGCGGTTCGAGTGACGGATTATATGATGTAAACCCACCCATTGTCATTTTGGAAAGCTTTGTAAATCTTGGAATTAATGACATAGCTGGTAGTTCTATTGCCCGCCTCTAGTCGAACGAATCACTTCTGTTCTAGTTTACGCACCTAGGCAAATTTGTGTATAAAAGCTTGAACCTCTTCAGCAATATTGATTTCCTTCCTTCATACACGCATTTCCAACTCACACCCTCAACAGACAACTTCAAGATCAGAGACACAGTAAACCTAGATACACATATCGCACTCAGGTTCTCTTCATCACATTCGAAGAGAACATGAACTACGAAGAATTCTGATGCAACTGCAAAGCCCCTCGCCTAGGCGAGCAAAAATACTGCAAAGCCAATGGCGGCTACAACATCTACGGCTATCCATCCCTGACATGCAAACAAACACTATACAGAGCCAACTCATACTGCGCCAACTGCGAAGTGAGTCCAGTTCTCCCATCCTAACATTCTGCAACGCTCATGTGATTCTCGTAGGCCGAAGGATGCAATCCGCACTCGAACTAGTAAGGCCGGAGACCGTGAAGGAAAATGAACGCATTTAATAGGAAGCGCCGCTGCTTTTGTGGGACTTGTATGGGCTCCGCATATTTGTGCTGTGCTGCCCGGTTTTAACAGACAGTCCACTCCATAATGTTTAAGTAGATCTAAATCTACCTACGTTGAGCTTCTATGACACCATCCATACATACATAAGGACGCACTCGTCGATCAATATCAAAAGTAAGGTTTCACGTGACAAACAAGTTCAGTCATCCTCAAATGTAAGCCGTCTCTGCCCTACTATGAAAGATGTGCGGTCGATAATGGAGCCCGATACTGCTTCAAGATTGAAAGAGATTTGCAGTGGAATCACCGCGTCCAAGCCAAGTTGCTCCGTGTTCTTTGAGTACAAAGTTACACGCTGCCTACTCGAATACCGTATCCCCAAGCTCACAACCACTTTCCACAAGATCTTGACTCATTACAAAACTATAATCATAACGTACACCTTCAATTATCATAATTCAGAGAGCGTGAGTCGATGCCGAGACCTATTCCTCATCTTACTTCAACGAATCGACGACAGGTTTGCTTCGTTACCGTACGGGAAGTACCTCATCTACAACTCCGCAAGTCCTTCAAGGCCGTGCTGCTGAAAACGAGACGCGTCACAAGGCAGATAACAAATTGGAGTGAGTAGGAGAAGGAAGATCTCTCTCTTTAGTCACCGAGACTTCTTGAAATCCCGCGAATTTACTACACCATTCTAATAAAATTCAGCGGAAACCGGCATATGAAGTGCCAATTTCGTCACGGCAAAGTCATGCTAGAATTGATATCTCTATCTGGTCTAACTTTAAAGACTATAGCGTTACAAAGGATATTCTGTACGTCCAGTCCTTGAGGCCACTGAGCCAAAAGAATATCCTCGACTGCGCGCAAACGAACTAACAGTATATAGATTACGCTGATCTTCGGCTCGCTTTTCTGCGAAGACGTTCCTCGAGTCTTTGGGAAGTCGAGGAACTGTCGTTTCGGTGCTTAAAATATCGACAAAGCTTCAACAAAATGTCATTATATCCCTCAGAGCTGCCCTAGATACTACTATCTCAACATTCGTTGAAGCAGCTAAGACCCCTCCCTACTACATTCCGTACAACTTTTTATTCCCTAGAGTCAATACTTTATGATTTGTGAGCTTCGCACACGATCCACTAGAGGGCTTCTGAAAGTCTATTTTCTACGTCCGGTTGGATGTTTAGGAGCGAGGTTAGCAGAAGACAAATAAATAAAGGATTCTAGTCCCGTCGTGCAAGATGAGTATCTCGACAAGTCCACACCCCTATCTGCGCAAGGTCAACACTCAAATCAGCTTCGACGGAGGCTTCGGGGGAGGAGTCCTTCTCCAGTCCCAATCCCAATCCCCTCTTCGCAACTCTACTCTTGACTCTCTGGATTTTCAGGGAGCAAGCTACGAAACCCTCACCTCACCTCACGTCTGCTTCACTCTCCTCATTAGCCTTCCTCACGTTAGATCATATCACATAAAGTTCATCATCATTCACACAAACACAAAACAAAAAGCTAAAAGCAATAAACGCCACAGCAATATTCATACCTAACTCATCTATATAGCTAGTCATCCATTCTTTCCATGCCATGCCATGCTCATCCCTTTCCATCCCCCCTTCTAACCCCCCATCCCATCCCCAATCCCCTCCAGCAAATAATTTTCCATCAGAACCCCACCCACAAATATACACCCCCCTCTTCTTTCTCAACAAAAAGCAAAAGCAAAAGCAAGACTAGAAACGCCAAACAATAAAAAAAGAAAAGCAACCACCTATCATATCATAATAATCATTCATAAAACAAAATGCCTCTTAACTTCCTCTTGTCTCAAAACAAGAGCAAAGATAGAAGTAAGCGCTGAATCGCAGCAAGAACAGAATGATGTATGCACGCTCGCTTGCCATGCCGATGTTTGTGTTTGTTTGTGTTGATTCGTTGCCTTGTGTATGCTGGAAGGAAGGATAGGAGAATCGAATATATCGTGATCGCGGTGAAGGTCGAGTTAGAGAGGAGAGTTGAAGTTGAAGAGGGAGGATTTAAGCCTCAACACTTCTCCTCTCCCTCTTAGTCCTCTCGTTCCATCTCCTCTTGCCGACTCTCGTCTCGAAATGTGGCGCCGTAGCTGCAACATCCTTCCCCGTCCCCTCTATTGTGCTCCGAACCTTATTCCGATACGCATCCACTGTTTCCACCACATTAGCCCAGCCCCCTCTTCACCACCCCAGGAAAGAAAGGTAAAACTTACGAGCTTTCTGCAAAAACACAGTCTTATCCGCAAACACCCTGCTCTGATGCCACGTCATACGATACCCCAGATCATTCAACCGAACCTCCTTACTCCTCACACTCTTCCTCATCTTCGGGACGCCGACTTCCGCCTCGCCGCCATCCGCCAATGGCACACTAACCATCATCTTACCCTTGCCGCCGCCCCTCGAGCTACCACGACCCTCGACCTCGACACTATCATCGACATCGTCGCTCTCAAAGAAGCGGCTTCCGTGCGCCGACGGCGGCGGACTCTGCATCTGCAGCGGGAACCACGAGCGCGGGTACACGGAGTTGCTCTTACGGAACGAATCGGGAATCTCTTTGATATCGACCGTGTCGAGAGTAACTCGAACTCTGACTCTGCCGCCCTTGCCTGGATCATCGACCAGAATGAACTTGCGCTTCTTCGCTTCAGGGATATCGCCAAAGAGGGTGATGCGCTCATCTTCGTCCATGTCCTCTTTACCTTTGGAGTGGGGATTAGAGTGCGATCTCGCGGCAATGGGATGCGCAGAATGAGGAGCTCCGCCATGAGAAGAATGCATTTGAGGAGCCATAGATGGACCACCTACGGAGGGATTGGGAGGATATGCGGAACCAGCATAGCCAGGGAAGACGTGAGATTGGCGAACATCGTCTTGAGGACCACCACTCCCAGGAGCGCCAGGAGGAGCCTGGTGATGATGGTGGTGTTGTGGTTCGTCGATGTATTCCTCGTCTGTTTGTAGAAAGAAGAAAGAAATTAGCCTCACGTTTTTACCCGGTAAGCGAAAGTGCAACAGAAAAAGGAAAGTAGTAAGGACTGAAAGATGAGGTGATAGCGCAACGCAAAGTGTATGAGGTTGTTGGAGGCAACAGTACAGTGATACAAAGACATGATGTATGGGGTATGGGTGTGTCTCGCCCCCAAGCTCAAGCTTCAGGCAAGGGTAGTAGCCGAAAGCTAGCAAAAGTGCAATGATGTATTATACAGGAATTTGGTTGTTCTCTTTAGAGTTGAGCCCTAGCACACGGACAGATGAATGTGATCTCTGCCCCCAGAATAATAGTGTCCCTCCCGCTCAACAGGTATTTTCGCAAAAGGTATCATAGCACAGGTAATAGTAACATAAAAGTATCACAGCGAGCATCACATCTGGTGAAACATACCGACTTCATCCCCTCCTTGCGTGCTTCCATCTGGGTGATTGTGGTGATGATGGAGTTGTGGACCACCCATCCCACTCAAGCTGGGTTTGCCCATGTTACCCGCACCGCCTGGGCCCATGTTTCCCGATGGAGGCATCCCTGTCGGACCACTGGGACCTGCCATGTGAGGAGTGTGTGTAGCCGCTTGAACCGCTTTTCGATTGTTGATCTTGGCCATTCTGCGCACACGTCGACTCCGCAATCGAGGGTCTTGATTGCTGTTGCGCCAGCTATCGACGGCTCTCTGAATGAGACCTCGCTTTCCACGCAGACACGGATTCAACTCTGCCAAAGCCCAACCGACAGTATTGCACTCAGTCTCGTAAACCAATCGATTGCCTCGGTACTGGTCTTTGCTGCAACATGCTCGAGGGTAGACACAGTTCTCAGTCTTGAACTCGGAGCTCAATGTGTCAACGTTGACAGATTCCACGTCGCATCTGATGGTATATTCCATCTTGACGCGGTCACGAGAATACTCAAACGCAATCCATTGCACACCATTGTTATCTTGTCGCACAACCAGTGGTGTAGTTGCTGGAATGGGACCTGGTGCCGCGTTCGGGTTGACTCCACTGTTTCCGCCCGGAACGTTGTTCTGATTCATTGGAGGCCCATTCTGAGGATGCTGCTGTTGAGGAGCACCAAGAGGAGGAGCTGGTCGTGAGATCTGTGGGACATGTGGCTCCATCTTGGTTCTTGGGCTACCCGTCATACCCTGCTGAGGATGTTGACTTGGGTGTTGTTGCATCTGGTGTTGGCCCGAATTGTGAGACATGAGCAAATTTGGCTGAGAAGTCATCGATTGATGATGCTGTTGCTGCTGATGTGGTTGTGGCGCGTATGAAGGGGCTCCTTGAGGTGGCATTGGAGGGTATTGCTGCTGAGGGCCTGCATAGTACATCTGAGGATTCTGCTGTAACTGCGAAGTTGGCGCGCCATACATTCTGTGTTGTTCGTGTGCAGATGGAGATGCAACTGATGCGGGAGAGTTTGACTGCGGAGTATGGTAGATTGGGGGGTAAGGGCGCGTCATTTGCGCGGCCGCCATGATGTCTGGAGTTTCTGGAGCTGCCCAAAAGTCAGTAAACCGTCTTTTCCAGGCAAAAGTCGCGTCGAGAGTTGCGTTTACTTACCTGCAGATGAGTATGTACCAGATGCACTGGGTGTACTATATGGACTCGGGTGGGAGGTGTAGTATGGAATCTCCTGGGGATGCTGTCCGCTGGGTCCTGGGCCGCTTTGAGCGTATTGTGGGAGACCGTGCTGGGACGCGTACGGTCCTGAGTGTTGCTGCTGCGGTGGAGGAGGAGCAACCTGTTGATGGTGCTGGTGTACAATGCTCGAGGGTCGTGGTTGTTGGAGGTGGTGGGGAGCTGGAGGCCCTTGCTGATGCGCGGGATGATGCTGCATATGGATCAACTGTCAGTGAAGGCTCTCCCAGGTGGTAGTGATAAATGCAATGGCAAAATATAATAACCATTGAAGCACGTTCGACGCGACGCGATGTTTATTTTGATACTTCAGACGTAAGAAAGAGGGTGATGGTGAATCCTGGATGACGAGGGTGCGGTGCACGCTGCGGTACCCAGTATCCGATCTTCTCCTTTTGGGCCGTGGCGCGGCGAACAATAAAGACAGTCGGGGTGGAACAACACAACAACGCTGCTGGGGGAAGCTGACAAGGAGGAGCAGGAGAGTACGAGGGGGTACCTCTGAGTATAACAGATGCCTTGCGTCTATTACGAAATGATGTTCAGACGACGTCTTGCCAAATGCGATCAGGAGGGTACAAGCGACTGCGCAATATCCGAGAGGTGCTAGATTTTCGCAAGGCTTCACTTTTTAAGATAGTGGAGCGACGAGGGTAAAGAACGAGCAGGTAGGGTAAAGAGGTAGGGTGCGCGAACCTTATGAGATTTGGGGGGAGAACGGGTCGAGATGTGCCGGAAAATAGGAACGAAAGCAGACACGCAAGATTGCAAGATTCCAATGATCGGAGCGAGGATAAATGCGCGGAGCAGAGGCAAGAACGGAAGAATGCTTGATCTGGAGCCTTGCCCATGAAAGCTTTGTCTTGAGATGACGGGGGGGCGTGCAAGGCAAAGAGATGGGAATGGGGGTCGACTTGCTTGGTAAAGTAAAGTGAGTGTTGATGCTTTGGGTCCAAGTGGACTTGAACGTTTGCGACTGGGGGGGGTGATGTGAAGCTGGGACTAGAACACTTTGGATGGAGGAAGGATTGTCGAATCTTGGGAAAAACCGGGGAGGAAGTAGCAGGCGAGGCAGGAGCAGGAGTCAGGGCCGGGCAGGGCAGGGCAGAGCAGGGTCTTAAGAGGAACGGGTCTGATGTACCGTGTATCTCGAGATGAGCCCTTTCGGAGCCTTGCACGAAACTGCCTGAGTAAGGCGACGCCAGTAAAATTGGGTAGTCAAGGGTCGGTGGTGGGACGACGACAGCGCATGGAAGAAACGTGACAAGGTTCAGATAGATCAATAACCAGCAGAATACTACAGTACTAATAACGACGATGATATCGCATTACGATGAAGTGCAAGGTAGTGGTGCTGGTGGAACTGGGACTGGGACTGGGTGTGCACCGTCGAGGATTTGTGTCCAGGAGCAGGGGGAGGGCGCACCAACATTGCCCCATGTCTGTGGCCTCACCAGGCGGCGCCCATCCACCACTGGGCCCCGAGCCTAGCAGGGAGGACAAGGGGAAACAGGGTTTCTAATCCTGCTCTGCCGTCACTGGTCAGACTCCGGCGGCGGTGAGGAGAAGGGGAACGCAGAAGAGCCGTCGCCGCCTGGAGCCACGGTCAACAGCCACCACACCATCGCGCTTCTGCACTGTACAGAGACTGCGCACTAGCGGCGAGAGCGTTTTTTTTTTTCTTCTCTTTCTGTTTCTGTGATCGCGAAGAAAGATGACGCGGTCGTTAGCGTCGTGTCAAATTGCTAGGGGCGAAGAGAGGGGCAGCGTGATAGCATGGGTGTGCCAGACCACCCCTGCCGATTCTTGCCCAGCACTCAACAGCCAACCCATGAGAGAGAACGAGCGACTCCGTTGTTGCGGCGCCCCGCTGGAGGCCAAGCCACAACGAATCCACACTCTCTCCCTGGACCACACCACTTTCACTCGACCCGCTAAACAATCGTCGCTGCCCACATGCTTGCACATGTTCTGTGCTCTGCCCTGCGCTGCGAGTGTTCCCCACTGGAAAACACGCTGACTAGCTTTGCGCTCAAAATAAGCTGCAGACCCCTTGATCTCGTTTAGCAAGCCATGCCCGACCGGCCAACCCCCAGGAGGAACTGCCTCTTTGGGATCCGAATGTTTATGCTTGCTTCCAATTGTTTATGCATTGCAAACAATTCCAGAATAAAACAAATATGCACAAATCCATCTTCAGCTTGTCATGTCGCTGCGCCCTCTTCATTCGAAGATAGCCCTTTGCACTGCACTGCAGCTTGCGCAACGTCATGATTGCATCAATAGTGAATGAGCGGTGGGACGTCCAGCAAAGGCAGCGCAGCAAAGGTACAACTGAACTGAACTCAACTGAGTCGCCGCACGAGAAACCGAACGCTCGCAAGCACCCACCATCTCTAAGCGAGGTCTGGTATACTACGCCGAGCGGGTGAGGGTTAAGGTCTGTGCTGGGCCCAATTTCCAGTGCCTCGCGTGGGATTGGGCAGCATTGTGAGACCCTGGTCCCGAGTATGCACCTAAACACTGTGAAACGCAGCCCACGAAATCAGAGGTCCACTTCCCATCTGCTCTTGCTGTCTTTGACTCGAATCGAGTCCAGCTGGCCTGGGCCTTTGCGTGCGGTGAGTGAGACTTGCATGCCGGCCCAGCCAAGCTCGTGATCTTCGAGAAGACATTGAAGCCACACCCACACCTCCGTGCACGATCCCCTGCAGCCAAACCAAACGGGAGCAACTTGCGAATGTGAGGTGAGGAGGGAGGGAGAGCGAGCTTGTGAAGCAGAGGAGATTACACACCGTGTAGCCGCAGCTTACACGAGCGCGATAATCAACCCTCCCAAGCCGCGCGAGAAATGAGCAAAATGCAGAATGCGATCAAAAGATAACGTCACAACACGACGCGCACCAAGACAACAAGACGTTGTGTACTTACGTGATCACCCGTGACCGCAACACCAGGTTCCTCTTTGTACCCGCCGCTCTGTCGATGAGCCATGTCGGTAGTAGTAGTAGTGGTAATAGATGGGGATCCTCGTCCTAGAGATCGTGCGTGTTAGCCTGCGAGTTCTCTCCAGCCACGATCACCATGCAATTCGCCACTGGTCGACCGTTGAAAAAGTTTTAGACCCTTCCAACGACCGGCGATGGACAATGGCTGGTCACCAAGCAGGGGATGCTCATGCTCTGCCATGCTTGCAATATCCGTGCGTTGCAAATCGGATTACAGGGCACGCACGCCAGGGCCGTCTCAACTTACGGGATGTTTTTCAGGTACCAGTCGACTGCCGCAGAAAGCCGTCCGCGCAACTTATTGGGCCGTGGTGACTTTTGGGGTCGTCGTGAATATGCAGTGTGAAACGCCTGCCGTGACTCTGTACTATAAATCCGACGTATCTGCTTCAGCACCTGGGTCAGCATATGGCCATAACGCGGCAAAATCGACTGCCACTGCAATGCGATCGCCAAAACGCATGATGGCGCTTCGTACGACAAAAATAGAAAATGGGTTGCTGCACCCAGGGGCAGAAACCCCCGAGGCGATCATTCGCTGGAAACGCAGGGGGAGATTTCGAAGGAGGAGGATCGCAATGCGATCGATGCAGAGAAACACCTTCAGCCATCCTCAAAATAGAACATGTCTTGAAGAAATCTCCATCACATTATATCGATGTCGCGACGGCGTTCCGGGTCCACGAATCCCGAGTATCAGATGGAATTGCAGCGCTGCATCTTGGTGCCCGCGGAAAGGGAACGGAAGGGAACGGAAAGGGAACAATGGTGGGGAGAAATCGACCAGCGCTGCAATGGTCGGACAGAACATGGGACGATCTGAACGCTGAGCGGGAGCATCTATCCCCTCACCACCAGACCATACCACACCACAGATGCGAACATCGATGTGTGGTGGATGTTGGGCGTAAGGTGCAAGGTTGTGGCGCACAGCGTTGAACAGCGCTGTTTACTACACCACTGACCAAGTGGGCCACCCTCGCGTGCGCCATGAAGGGAACCCACGTGCGAGTCCGGCAGCTAAACCAGGACTTTCACAGCGGACACCAAACCATAGTCCAAGAACCATGACATCGTGCGGCAACCAAGACAACATTAAACAGACAAAATCGGACTGAGGAAATTGCGATGAACTCACTTTGGTAAGCTGGCTGATGCTGAAAGAAGTGACTCGTAACGATCGTTGTGCCGTGGCTGATCCTAGTTTTCGTGTCAGTATCGTGCTCAAGAACCGCTGAGAATGATAGGTAGAGAATGTGCTGCAAGAGCGACTAGTTCATGCGTGAAAAGGAAAGTTGCATACAGAAAAGTTCAATACAACTCAGTGCGATGCATTGCAGCAGCAGCAGCTGAATAATGACGCAACTGTAATCTGGATGAGGCTGAAGAGTTCGAATGGAAGGCTTCAACGAAGACCGTTGTCTGTGGAAAGACAAGGTAGGTCAGTTCGAGGCACTGGGCTTGGAGATATAATATACAGGCATGGGTTGTTGGTAAACAACGGGTGAGACCAGGCAAGGTTCAGCGAAGCCAAGGCCGGCAGGGCAGGATTGATTAAGGAGAGGATGGGGTTGCAGTGTCCGCCACAGGGGCAAAGCTGGTCATGCAGCAAGGCCATGATCGCGGATGGCACACTCGCTTACACTGTGAAGACGAGGGTGTGGTGGGGAGAAAAGCAAGGATCGAAACGCCATCGCGCGACAGGTGCAAAAACGAACTCTTGCACACAGAAGGAAAGAAAAGACCCGGGGGCCCAGAACGTACGTTGCTGATGATGTAGCGTCTATCGCGTTTTTGTCGTGCTGCTCATGAAGCGTGAGGGGTGCCGAATCGGATCTCGTGGCTCGTTGAAAGAGCGTGAAATCGTGCAGAGAGAAGTGGTTCGTTCTATATCAAAGCATCAGTCTTGAAGAATCATCCATGCAGCGAGGATGATGCCCTTACGGGTGGGCGCGTGTGGCTGCCAAATATCTTGTACTGTGATGGTTCTTGTGCCACCTGAGATCTTCTTGGTGCTGCCCACGGTGACGTCTCAAATTGGTTACGGGAAGTACTTCTCCGCAAGTAACTGTATGGCTCAGTGGTCCGAAACTACGGGTGAACTGTGGTAAGCGTGACCAAGCAAGAAGGTTTACTTTCTTGACGCGGTGGCGATTGGGTGAATGGATGAAATCCGTGTAAGGTGAATCGAGCTGCCGCAGATAGATTGCTGCTGTGTGCGCCTCTGTCGGGACCTGCGCAGAAATCGACCTGCCGTATCTCGTCTTCTGTAACTCTTCTCGAAAACTTCCTGCCTTGTCGGTGTGTGTGAATGATCGAGTCCAGGGACCAAAGATTCGGAGAGGGGATCCTCGTCGGTTGCTGGATATCCGTGAGAGGATCTTCCTGGATGCTGCAGAGGGTAGCTGCTGCTGGGAGACCTTTGACGGTTATGTAGGCTAGGATAGAGGCAGGAACTGGTAGGAAGGATGTTCGGATCTGGGTCGCACAATAATTAGCATCGTGTATCCTACTGAAAGTGGCGATTAAAATCAATGGCAGAGGCGCGCAAGATACCAGAGCGGGTTCCGCTTCGCAGATGGTGTCGTTCACGTCGCAAGAGGGTTGCGATTCTCTCTTTGCCCCGCAGATGAGAGAAAGACTATCGCGTGGGCGTTATTTCAACGGTTACCACGTTGCTTCGTTGTACGTTGGTCGTGCAAAAGAAGTTTCGCGAGCGAGGTGGCCGTTCAGCACGAGGTATCGCTAAGATGTACGGCACCGAGACGCGTTCCTCGAGACTCGAAAATCGCATGCGGCATCCACATTGACTCAAAAAAATATGACTCTCTCCAGCACCCGCAACCGCAACACCTCGACTCGGTAGGAGAATAGGAAATTATTGGATCTCACCTCTTTGCTGCTGTTGATCTCGATCGGGTCGTGTTGGTCGTGGCCGGCTGGTGCAGTCCCGATCGTGGTGATGCTTTCTCTGGGAGGAGGCAGTCGTCGCGTCGGTGCAGCTCGAGATGCAGGAGTT